CCCCCCCCCCCCCCCCGTATTTCTCTTCACTTATATTTTATAAATCATTAATAATAATTAAAATGTTCCCATCCTTTCCTAATTTAATTCTCTCATTCACTTTATTTCATTTATTTATTAACAAACATTCCACTAGATTACGATAAATATTTTATCTATCATTTTAATCATATTTTCTAAAATTATTTCTATTTGTAATATAACAATACTATCTTATGTACCTTTGCAGAATCGCTTTTACAATTAATTTTTCACCCATTATCTCTAAACAGGCTTATACTTTTAATTCTTATACCTTTTTCTTGTTTCTCTATATCTTGTTTCTGTCCTTTATAACTTCTTTTCCTTTCATTCTTCCCCCTCTTCTTCTCCCTCCCCTCTTACCCCTTTGTCTCTCTACTTCCAATTCTCTCTTCTGTAATCCCCTCTTCTGTTGCTTTCTAATATTATACTTATTTTTCAAACTATTCTTCTTTTTTGGGTTGTTTTTTCAAATCTTAAACTTTTCATTCTCTTTCCCCCCTTTCCTTTTTCCCCCCACATAAAATTTCTTGATCATTAAAGATGGCTTCTTCTTTGTCCCAATCTTCTTGTTCTGCAAGCGTTTCTTGTTGTTTCTCATGGTTCCAGATCTCCATTTCTAAGAGTTGAAATACGAAGCCAAAAGAACCTCTCCCTTCTTGTGCATTTTTTTTGTAATTTTTCAGTTCCATTTTCAGTTCTTCTAAAAGTGGTGCTACTTTAAACACTTTTAAACAACCACCCGATTGATTTTAGTCATTTAAATGCAATAACCAAAAATCCAAAGATCACCAAGTAATCCAAATAATCCAAAGCTGTTTCTTCTTGCTTCCTTTTTCCACTTTCTCTTCCAAAATAATATAATATTATTTTGTTGCCAAGTTTCAGTTAAAATGTATCTTTTAGGAATCTTATTGAGGTTTCACTGTAAATTCCTTTTAGTTCCAGGCAGTCTCCTCCATTTTTCCAGATCCTGCCCTTTTATTCTTTTTCTCTCCTTTCCTGCTTTTAAAAGCTTTTAAGTATCCAGAAATCTTTATTATCCCTTTGACATTTTATTTTCAGCTTAAATGTCTATTGATGTCAAAGTGGATTTTTTTTCAATTTCTTGCTTAAGTCTCTTAGCTGTCAGTATAGGGAAGAAAAAAAAAAAACCAAATCCTTTCCCTTCCCTCTCTCCTTTGCTGCTTCAAAATCTTTTTTGGGAACAATGTTATTTTTTTATATAGTTTAAATTCCAGGGTACCTTACGTTGTTGCTTTTGCAGTTTAACCCAGTCAACCAAAACTTTCTCCTCTTATCTTCCTCCTGAACATTCTTTTCCGGTTGAGTTCTTCTTTGAGGTGGCCATTTCTGACCACCGCTGCAACCACCTTCGGGAAAGGGAGTAATGGCCAGCTGAGGAGGAGAGATGCGGCTCTTCTCAACCCTGCTGGCAGTCTCCTCCCTCTTCACCACCTCTATGGGGTGGCTTAGCCCCGAAACCAGCCAGTTCGGGGCGCTCTGGCGGCGAGCACAGATCAAAACCGCGATCACAGTTTCGGTCTGTCGGCGAAGGAACTCAAACCGGAAGCCCCCACCCAGAGCTATGATGTTGTTAGGCAGTCTACACATTTAATAAATAAACAAATATATAGACCCACTAACCAATCTAGGCAAAATTCTGACAACCCCAATCACTTTTATGCATGCATTGGTGGGACATAGACATACAAATGGTTGGGGACTGAAACGTGATGTTGCAACTGCCTTTTTTGTCTATTTTGAAGCCCCCTCAAATGGGAAGCAATAATTAGAGAAAAGTTGGGTTAAATACTTAAAAGGCATGTGAAGATTTTAATAAATTCACTGTGTTTCATCCTTAAATTTTATTTCTAAATGCAATACATATACCGTTAATGGTATAATGATTAAGAGATTGTATTGCCACAAAATCCTAGGGTGCTAAGAAAAAATATATATACAAAAAGTACATATGCTACAATGCACATAAAATGGTGGTGCATAGCTTTTCCTTCACATCTACCCGTGGTGGTATTCTACTGGTTTGGCCCGGTTCTGCCGAGCCGGTAGCGGCAATGAGCAGTGGACACCAAAACAGTTCTCTCTGCTGCTCTGCTGTTGGGCCCACCCGCCTGCCCGGGCTCCCATATTCACCTTTATCCTGTTTTTGAAGCGCAGCTGCTTTTCACGGCACAAAAGAGTGCCATGCCACAGCTGCTGAAGTGACTGGGAGAGTGCAGGCTTGCGGGAGGTGAGTTGGAACACCTCTGCGCCAGCGCAAAGTGGTGTGCGTTTGGTGCACGCATGCACGCAGAGTGTGAGCATGCGTGCAAAGCGTGCCCACCCAGCCACACCCATCAAATCGGTGGTAAAAAATTTTGAAACCCACCACTGATATCTACATCATAGACCGATGTGGAAATCAGACTGGAAGAAACTTGCAATTCGTATCATGAGGAACTCGCTGAAAATGAAACTGGCAGATTTGTGCATGCCTAGGGTAAAAAGGAATAGAAGTGAAATATATGCTCATGTAAAATAGATTCTGAACTAACACGAAGTAAATCACCTGTCACTACTAAAATCAAAAGTAGCTTAAAATTCTTCGCCTTACAATGTGCTTTTTCTTTTTCTTTTACAGGTGAACTCATACAGAACTGTCCAAATCTCTCTCTCTTCCATTTGCAAAACTCACCCTTTTTTAATATGGGAGCTCTTATGAATGCAATGTCTTCCTGCAAGAAGCTTACTGAAATTCTCCTCAATGACTTGAATGTTGGAGATGAAGATCTGTATACCCTTAGTAAGAAAAATTTAATGGAAAACTTTTGCAATATTAATACCAAATAACACTTTTGCTTAGTATCAAACAAGTGACAATTCAAAGGCCACAATGTCCTCAACTTAAAATATATCTCAGAGATTAGAGCCTTCTGTGCTGACCTGAACATACTTGGGAAATGATATGTCTGGTTTGTTTTTCTGCTATTCTTATACACACATTGCTATGAAATAAGAGTGTGGGATGCGCTGAATTGTATTTGTAATCAGAAAGCAACATAAAAGGTTGAATAAAGAAATATGAGCCAGGGCAGTACTGTAACCTGAGAAAACAAGAGATATTTCTTTTATCTGTTTTGGTAATGGTTCTTTCTCCTATTACTCAAGGTCATTCTTTATTCCAACTTCATTATCACAAATAATCCAATTTCCTTTTCACATAGCAAGAGGTACTATGAACTGGAAGATTCAGAAGTGTCTGTGTCAAAATCTGCAAGATGGTGACTGCGGTATTGTGATCAAAGCCACACTCTCTTGTACATAGGTTGATATTACATTCTTATACAAAAGGATAGACCTTAGATTGCAGCGACAGACCCTTACAGAATTTGGCCATAAAACAACCCAGATAAATGAATTATAAGAAAATTAAAGAGTAATAAAAAGCATTTTATTATTGTAAAAGTATTGGTGATATTTTAATCATATAATCTGTTGATTTGAATTGAAGACAGTTATTTGTAGTTGTTCATTTATACTGATATTTATTTGTATATGTTGCAGCTGCTGTTTTGCCAAATTTTACAGCATTAAAGATACTAAATCTCTCAAGATTATTTTTGAAAAACAAGGAAGCATGCACAGCACTGGGTATGTTTTAACTTTTCATTCCTGATGAATATATCCTGAAGTGCTGGTCTAGAAAATTCAGCATTTATGATATTGCATTTTCTTGAACAGGTTATAGTCTATCTACAGTACGGTTTCTTGGGAGACACTCTATCACCACATTTTTTTTTACTTTGCAGCATTAGCTTTACGTTCTCTTATGAATTTGGAAGAACTTGTTCTACCGAATGGAGAAGGAATAAGGCATACAGCTACACTGATTGTTCAACAATGTTTCTATTTTCCAAATCTTCGCAAGTTGGTGTTTTGTCAGTATTTAAGTGCTGAAGGCCTGTTGGAAATAGGTAAGTTCTTAAAACAAATAATCTCTATACAACTTTTCAGCATAGGCCCATACTCTGTTCATCATCCAGTTGATAGATTTGGCCTGGTCTAACTATTTTATCCCTGAAGTAAGTACGGAGCTGACAAACACATTTTAAAAGCCCTTAGAGCAATTTTTGACACACAAAAGCCTGTCATGTAACTGACATAAATTATGTAATGTTTATGTTGGCATGCATATGTTGTAAATCTGTTTCAACTACATGATGTGACTAAGTACATAATTTGCTTCAATTGAAAGACAATGTAATGCAAATGATATATTTTGCTATGGATACTTATGACCTAAAGTGTGCAGTAAAAGCCACAGTGATAACCCATACATTATTGTGTTATTATGAAAATGTTGAACATTTTGTAATACTTTAATGTAATTAATAATTCTTGCAACTGATGTTAATTCCATAAATTACATTCTTTGCACAATGACAGTCTGATGCTTGTAAAACCCATTTCCCTTCTTGCAATGCTATTGAAGGCAACAGAGCCATTTGTCTGTGATGGTTTCATTTAAATTCCTGCCCTGAAGAGGAATTTGGACATTGCCTAAATGGCCCTTCTAACTTTCTCAGAAGATAGTGAAAACGTTTTTGTAAAAGTGTTTGCTACCCTGGAATAACATTATGTCATGTTGAGGGAAGAGCTAATGCTTTAAAATATTGAAAATCAATATTTTATGTTCAAATGAATCATATCAACAGTTTCGTTCCTTTTTATTATAGAGGAAGCTGTGTCTTTTTATGCTAGTTTAGTATTTCTCAACTTTAGCAATGTTAAGATGTGTGGCTTTTAATTCCCAAAATTTCCCAGCCATCATGCTACCTGCACTGTTTCTTTGCAGGCTGTATCCATGACATGAATACCATGTGTCCAATTTATTTTTAAATAATTTCATTTCTCTCATTGTTTTTGTTTCAGCAAAGGTAGCTGTTGCTGGAGGTTTTCAAAAACTTGAATATCTATGCCTGTCAGTCAACCATACAATTAATGAAGAGACTTGGAGGAATTTCTTTCAAAAATTGTCCAACATGCCAGACTTACAAACTATGGATTTCGGTCGCCTTGCTACACATCCAATCGAATGCCAAGCAACAACCATGAAGTCTTTCGTCCAATGTGTTTCTCGATTGCCCAACCTCAGGGAAATCAGCATGATTGGCTGGTTGTTCGATGAGAAGGATCTCAACATGTTTGAGATTATGAAAAAACAACATCCCCAATCAAAGTACTTACGGTTATTTTGGAACTTTATATTGCCATTTGCACCTGTTATTAATGAATAAAGAAGTGGAATGTAGTTGACTATACCGTATTAACATTAGTTATGCCTTATACATATTCTCATTTGTCGACTTGTTATAAAATTTATTCCAGTGTCATCATCCTATTACTTTCTTTTTTCACAACCAGATTCCCATTTTTCTGAAAGCTCTTCCCCATCAGTATTGTTAAACCTCTGACATAGCGTAGGCGGCTGAAATAATTTACTCACAGTTCAGCTGTAGCTCAACATCACCAGCAATTCTGTATATTGCTGAAACTTAGGTTTTAGGCCAGTCATCCCATTGATGGGAAAGCTGAAGTAGTCCAAATTCTGACTTGAAATTCTGACTCGATTATAAATCGATTGCATAGTAACCACCATGTAGTTGGAGACCACCACCCTAAACCTATCTGGGAAGAATTACAACTATTTTAATCTTTTTTGTCGCATCTGTCAGCATTTTTTCCATGTTACAATTTTTTTCCTGATTGAGACCTGTCTACATTAATTCCATATAGTATTTAGCCTGCTTGCGTAACTGTTTTTTCTTTCTCCTTTGTTACACTCAACTGGTAGATCATTTCTGCAGATGTCTTAAGATGTCCATTCTTGTAATAATTTTACAATAATTTTATCTTATGTGTTGTTCTGCTGTTCTTTCAAAATATAATACACTTCAGGGATAAGGATATCTAAAACTTGTTCAAGATATCTAAAACTCAGTTCACAACTTGGGCATGGTTTACCCCCTTTAGTCTTGTGATCCTGACCAGAAGAGTTATCCCAATGCATATTAGAAAACCCTGTTGATTTTCTGTCTCTGATTATCTATTAAGCAGGGAAACCTAAGTATAACCTTAATAAATGTAATGTAATATATATTATGCATGTCCATGTGATTTATTAGGTATGCTGCTAGCCAGTAAGCATAGATTAAAATAGATAAAGCATAGATAAAATATGGTTCATATGTAGTTCTGTAATTGCTAATGTGTGTTCAAAATACAATTATCATATAAACAATAAAAGGAGACATGGTGTGAGACAAAACAGGTTCTTCTGCTGCTATTGTGGCTTCCTTACTGCTTCAAAATTGAATCAGTGGTGATACCATGGGAGATTTTTAAAATCCTAAAGGGAAAGCAGTGTTTTCTAGTGAGCTTAATTCATGCAGTGCGTGCATCGTCTGTGTTCTGTTGTGAGGATATATAGCCATCTGGGTATAATCCACAGAAGACTCCACAAAGGAAACATGACCATCATGTTAAAAATGCTTTTTTCCTATTTTAGATATCAATAAGTTTAATAAAAATGAAAATGAAAAATCAATTTGGAAAAAGTTAATTTTATTGACCAGTATTTCAAATCAGTTGAGTGATAGTAAGCAACCATTCCCTTAACTGATAGGAGAGTTGTTTTAGTGCTGGATAGTCCATGCATGAATACAGTTTTTCACTTAGGTCATTGCTGTTGTCCACAACTATAACATGGACTACATCAAGATAGTGTTGCTGTGGAGCTAGCAGTGAAGATTAGTCTTCGTGTTGTTGACTCTAAGTTGACTCTAAGAATCAGCATGTCGGAATTTATCTGAATGTTATTCAATTTGTCCAGAATAAGCATCTAAAAATGAACACAGGATAACAACAGCAACCGTATCAGTATAAGGCAGTAAAGATAATGTAGACAAATGGGATTAATGACAAATTTTAATCTCTGAGCATTATCTGTTATCTGTGAAATTCCTCTGCTAACAAGGGTAGAAAGGGAACTCATGTGGGAAAGCAAATTCATTTGGGAATCTTTGCCAATACTATTATGATTTGGCGTCAGCGCACCATCCGGAAACCGATGGCGGGACTGAGAAAGTAATTGGCATCCTCGCCCAATATGTAAGATGTTTTGTCAACCATCGACAGAACGATTGGGTGACCTACCTCCCTTTGGCGGAGTTTGCCTTTAACAATTCTCAGCACACCTCCACTCACATGATGCCTTCCTATGCAAATGTGGGCTACCATCCGAGGTTTTTTCCATTGTCGATTCCCTGGTTCCAGAAACACAAGACTTTTTATCTGAACTACATTCGGTGCACCAATTGATTTCACAACAATTGGAATGGGCTAAGGTGGACCACAAAAGATTCGCAGATCGTTCGCGTCGGGCGACACCTCCGCTGGCTGTGGGAGACAGGGTGTGTCCACGAAGCATCTCCGAGTTGATTGTCCGATTAAAAAGTTGGACCATCGTTTCATCGGTCCCTTCCCTATCGAGGCGGTCATCAATCCCGTTGCTTATCAGCTCACCCTACCGTGCTCCATGCGCATTCATCTGTCTTCCACCATTCCCTTCTGGTTCCTGATGCCCCATTGTGTACTCTCCGTTCTCCCACTGGTACGATTTCTCCATCTGTACCCAGCGATGATGCCGATGCTGACGACACAGCATTCAGCATTCGGGATCAGCATTCGGGATTCTCGCTGGCTGAAAGGACGATTTCAGTACTTTGTCGAGAGGCTAGAGGATGGATCAGAGGTTCTTTCCTGGGTGGATGCTTCCACGGTTCATGCTCCGGACCTTATCCGGAGATTCCATGAACGGTTTCCATTAAAACCACATCCGGATCATCAGACTCGGGGGAAGGGCCCTGCGGTGAGGGATAGTGTTGTGACTCAGAGGTTTGAACCTGCTCTGTCAGAAGACATAGGCTTGAGTGATGAGGAAGATCTGGCATTAAGGTTTGAGCCTGCTTTGTTGAGTGACATAGACGGGAGTCAGGAGGAAGAGGAGGACTTGGCTCTAAGATTTGAGCCTGCTTTGCTGGAAGTTTCGGAGTCATCTTCCTCCCCAGAATCTTCCTCCCTGATTGTGCCTCAGGTGTCGGCAGATAATCAGGAGAGCGTGCCGGAGTCATTGGCTGAAGATCAAGCCGAGAAATACTGGTCTGATGCAAGGCTAAGACGCAGGCAGAAACATGAAATACAACGTAAAAGGAAATGTCAAATCAGGGACTGAGAAAAGAGACTGACACGCCCCTCAGGGAATATAAAGAGGCGTGTTAGCTCTGAATCCCTGTTCAGGTCGACTTGTTTATTTGAGTTAGCAGTTCGGGGAAAATTATTCTGTGTGGCGTTCGCCTCTGATTTATGGTTCTGTTCGTTATCAGACTTGGTAGGCAGCTTCTGGAAAAACTGCCAAAGACTGATTCAGCCAAAGGAAGTTAACTCTGTCGTTCCTGTTCCTGTCTGTTTGTGTATTTTCCTTTGGAAATTTGGACTCTCACTTTGTGGCTACAGGTGAGACAGAACAAGTGTGTGTGTGTGTGTATGCATGCAATATATAAATGCATACTTGTAAATATGTATCCACACACATGCACAATTATGTAAATACAAGTGTTTCACATGCATGTATTCTTTTACAGAAAAAGATTCCAGAATTGGTTTCAGAGAGATTCTTTTAGTTCATATTCTCCCATGTTTTTAACAAAGCAGTATTTTTGCAAGAGCTTTATATGAGAAACATCAGTAATTTAGATTATTGGAGAGATGCAGATAATTTGAAAGAGGTATATTTCCTTTTGTTTACAAGCCTGGCTTGCTTTTTCTTACTTCCATATGCTATATATGAGGCATCTATAGAGTTCTTTTATACCATTTTTCCCTGCATCATCCAATTAACCCCCTGTATTGTTGATGTTTTGGTATGAACCTGAGAACTAATTATCTTTATTTTTTAACAGGGTACCTGAAGTTGTTGCTCCCTTAAAACAGGGGTCCCCAACCGCCGGTCCGTGGACCAGTACCGGGCCGCGGAACAAGCCTTACCGGGCCGCTGGTTGCTGGGCGCCGCCATCTTTTTTGACGAAACAGCGCTTCCGGTGACGTCACCGGAAGCGCCTTTTCGTCATAAAAAGATGGCGGCGCCCAGTTGACGCCGGTACCGGGCCGCGGCGCCCAGCTGATGCCGGAACCGGGCCGCGGCGTCGAAAAGGTTGGGGATCCCTGCCTTAAAAGACCTAAAACAGTCCCAGTATGTGAACACTAGCAATTACAATGGGTCAGCTAAGGAGCCCCAGCAGAAAAAGAAAAGAGGAAGAACAAGAAGAGCCAACAGTGATAATTATGATGCTGATTATACCACAGGTGGTGAATCTTGTGATGAACTGGATGAGAACTGGGACAGGTATTGGCTACTCCACCTATTTGGCTGTGTTATAGCACTAATAGCCAGTGGGGGTCTATAGAAAGTAGAAGATTTTAGTTCTAGCAATATCTGTAACTGTATCACAGTTGATGATGATAATGGGGATGATGATGATGATTTAAAGGTATATGCTGCCTGATTCCCAGCAACTCTGGCAGATGTTTATGGAACATAAGCGATGCTATGGAAAGAGGAAGGAATAAAATTCGGGGTTCAGTCTCACATTAGGAATCATCAGCTAATATTTAACAAAAAATGAATAAAGTACCTTTCCTGTAATCAAGAAGAATATTAATCCTATCTATGACTGAGATGAAGCTCGTGCCTCTTATGAGAGCATGTGTACAATCATTTAAGGTTTTGGAATTC